AAAAACCTCCAGTGATGGAGCAGCCATGACTTCTAGAGGCAAGTTATTCCAGTGGTGAATTGTTCTCACTGTTAGGAACTTCCTCCTTAGTTCTAGCTTGATGGTGACCTATCGTTCGTGAGAGAGGCTAAATGACCAGCTGTCACTCATGGCTCAGCACTGGAATGGAGGAAGAGATTAAGTGACCTCAAAGGATCCATCCCACTTCGTAATTTTGATATCGCTGAAGATAAAACAATTTCCCAGATCTATTCTTCAGGAGTGGTCGAAGGTCTCAGAACTAAAGTTAAGATATTCTGTGCTCGTTACTTCGTTTTTCTCCTTGCTGCTTGTGGGCCTCTGATAACAAGAAGTATATCTTAAGTATGGAAGCTGTACACTCACTCCTTAAAATTCTATTTTTTTTTTTTAACTAAGTCTAGAAGATACAAAGATGGCCATGTTTGGAGTGTAGGCGACATGCCTCCAAAACAGAAAGGGCAAATAAATAAAAAGAAAACTGTTTAGGATCTTCAATAAAGAGACACTCGGGCAGAGCTAAAGCAGTTGAGATTTACTGAAAGGTTTTCTTTGCTTTGCTAGAGTAAAAGAGATTATTTCCAATTCTGTAGAAAGGACTTTTTGGGCCGTTTAGCCCTCTCTCTCTCTCTCCAAAAATTGTTGTTGTTATTTTTTTATTTTATTTTTTTCACTTGGCTCAAGAGTGGATGTTCAGTCTTGGGAAAAAAAGAAAAAAGTCCTGGATCCAAGAAACTGGATCCAAGCAGGTGAAACAGTGCCGGGGATACGTTCCCAAAGATTGCAGGGTTTGCAAAAAAAATAAAACCTTTACAAAACACAGACACGAATGCAAGAAGAAAAGGAAAGAGGAATCGTAGGAAAGGAGTTGGGAGGGGAATCTGGTCAGGATTCATTTAAAGTAATAATCTGGGGGTTGGGACAGAGGGAGAGAGAACAAATAAATCTAGCAAGCATCTCAAAGCTTATGTTGGCTGCAGAGGTTTTGGAAATCCTGTGCTGTGAATAAATGGATCCTTTTTTCCTTGCCAAATTTTTAAAAAAAGGGGGGGCGGTCGGAATAGAGCAGCCCGTAGCCGGCTGGAGTTTGCGATGCTACAAAAACTGTGCACAAATGCCGACAAATTCCACTCACGTGGTCCTTTAAATAGAGGGGAAAATATCTCAAGCTGGAACCTGACCAGGGTGGTTTGGGAAATGACTTTTCAAAAGATTAAAAGAACTTCAAAACTCCCCCCAAAAAAAGAGAAAAAAAAAGAAATCATCCTTTGATGGGACAAGTCCTGTTATGGAGATCAAATAGAATGGAAAGGAACGGAATACAATATGGAACGGAAGAATAGAATAGAATAGAATAGAATAGAATAGAATAGAATAGAATAGAATAGAATGGAATGGAATGGAATGGAATGGAATGGAATGGAATGGAATGGAATGGAATGGAATAGAAGATAGGATAATATAGGAATGAATGGAATGGAATGGAATGGAATGGAATGGAATGGAATAGAATAGAATAGAATAGAATAGAATAGAATAGAATAGAATAGAATAGAATAGAATAGAATAGAATAGAATAGAATCTATTCTAAGTGTTCTTCCATTAAAACAAACATCTCTTTTCCACCCTAATTACGTAGACTACTGCATGGTCTAACAGCAAAGCCAGGATTTGGGGCTCTCTATTCCCAGTGGCCACCACCGTGGCACAAGGATGTCGGTCCATAGACCCCATCGACGGACTCACTAAAGCTCTCTGAGCAAGACGGAGAGTAAGCAGGGGTTGGAGAGGGAGGGAAAACTTTGAGGAAAATCGGAGAGATTTCAGCTCCACGTGGCAGGTAGCCAAGTAGAGCTCAACCAATTAGATCAAGGACGGGATGATGTCTTATGTAAATGGGGGATTCCTCAACAGCCTGTTTCTTTTGTAAAAGATTCCTTTCCCACCCTAAACATCTGAATTCTCTCTCTGGGGACACGTCAACCTAACCCAGGGTTTCCCAGAGCTGCAAGAATGGGTGTGACAGGCCTCCCTCCTGTGGACACACTGCCCTACTTGCGGCTACCTTCCAATCGCCACTTCCCCCAGGCAGCTTTGCGCCTTGGATGCACTGGAAAAGGGCAGCATGGACGAGGAGTGGAATTGTCAAAATTGTCCATTTCCAGCGTTCATCGTATCCCTTCCCGCCCCTGCTGAGCTGAGCTCCATGGAAGGCTTCCAAGCTCTGAGTCACGTCCAGCACATCTATTTTAATCCCCCTCCTTTTTTAAAAAACATTGTTACATCATTCCAGGAGGCCTACTGAATGAATATATATCTGTCTGTCTATCTGTCCGTCCATCCATCCATCTCTCCTTTCTTTCTTTCTATCTATCTATCTATCTAGCCATTCAACTTATCTATCTAAACTTATCTAGTGTT